TAGTGTAGTGTGTCGTAGTCGTGTGTCGTGTGTCGTAGTCGTGTGTAGTGTGTGTGTGTGTGTGTGTGTGTGTGTGTGTGTGTGTGTGTGTGTGTGTGTGTGTGTGTGTGTGTGTGTGTGTGTGTGTGTGTGTGTGTGTGTGTGTGTGTGTGTGTGTGTGTGTGTGTGTGTGTGTTTGAATATGTGCAGAAGAGGTCTGATTCTTCTCACTAAAATGTTTAGCAAGCATCTCTATACATGCCTTTCATTCCAGTGTAGCGTGAGTCAGGAAGCCCTGAGTGAACAGATCTGGAGAGCAGAGACTCCTCCACACAATGATGCTGTGACAACATAATGTCTGCATGAGAGGGAAGACTGTTTACCATTACAGAAAATAACTGCTGTTTAAACCAGTGAATGCACAGCCTTTTTGTGCAAATCCATAGTCGCTCTTATGAGCAAAAATGCATTTCAAGTTCAGCCAAATCTAAACAAGACAATAAGACCTCCAAACGTTCAGTCTTTTGAGACGCACTGTTGATGTAGCTCTATTGATTGCAATATTATAATTGAGGCACCTTTGCTAAACTTTCATAGGTTTTCCTTTAACCCGACCATAATGTAAATATTTATTTTCATTACTTGATTATTCAAACACATTTGAATGTGGAACCATCATCGATCACATTTTTTCTTTGTCAAAAAGTTGTATTTTTTACCAAATAGGCCTACTGGCAGAAATAAAAACACTCCCACACTCCTTGGCAAATTGCAACCATTAGCATACTAACATGTCAAATGTCCACATCACCATGGTAAGCATGATGCTAAACATCAGTTAGCATTGTCATTGTAAGCATGTCAGCGTATGATTTTGACATTTTGCTAAACACACTAAGTCCTAAGAACAACCTCACAGTGATCGCTGCTGTTGGCTCTTAGATTCCTGTTTGTGTATTATTGGACCTTGTTTCCTGGGTAAGCTTTGATAAAAGGATACAGAAAGGAAGGGATGTACAGTAGCAACACAAGAAGAACAATTAGTAATCAGATGCATTTTTGAAT